GAGGGCAATGAATGTACAAATGCGCTTTACACAATTGATGTGTGTATGGATTGTGATAAGAGTTGTATGAGCCCCTAATAAAATGATTTTTTTTTAAAAAAAAGAAAAGTAAAAAAAAGAACATTCTGGAACAAAACACAAGAAAGTGTTCAAGTGACAATGGGGACTAAAGGTTACAGGAAGGAGGGTAAAGCCTTTCCCATCTCACTTTAGAGTTTTGTATATTGTTGTCTTTTCATATTCTCAGTTAAAGGCACTAGTAAAATATTGTGTGTAGTGTGTCTAAAACTCATTCTTAAATTCTGATGTTTGTTCATTTACGGAGAATGGATACATGGGATGGTGTATGTTAAAGCAAATAATAATATACAATATACTGAGGGTTCAAGGGGTGATAGGGCGGGGGGGGAGGGGATATAAGGGAGCTGATATCAAGGAATTCAAGAAGAAGAGAAAATGAATTGAAAATGATGTGGGCAGCAATTGTACAATTATGCTTGATTGAATGGAACTATGAATTGTAATAATATCTGTAAAATGTTTTAAAAAATAAAATAACCGGGGGCTTAAGTGGAAAGGAAATGTTTTGAGAATGATGAGGGCAATGAATGTACAAATGTGCTTTAGACAATTGATGTATGTATGGATTGTGATAAAAGTTGTATGAGCCCCTAATAAAATGATTAAATAAATAAATAAATAAATAAAAACCAGGGAAGAATAAAAAAAAAAAAATTCTGTCCCGGGAGTCACTGAAACCCCTTGCTCACTGCAACCACTCTCTGCAGCTTTAATTACCATGCCAGCCAGATATATCTGGACTGCTGAACCAGTCCTCCTTTAAAGAAATGAGAATGAGAAATTTACCAATCACCAAGACCTGACAAATGCTGACAGGGACATATTTAAGAAGTCTTAGCTTGAGCAACTGTTTTCCTGTAATAGACTTTCTGTAGGTTCCTTTAAAATTAATTTACATATTTTTCATATTCTAAAAATAAGTGAATAAGTAGAATTTGTGGCACAATACACTGATCATAACATAGGCAACTCTTTATATTAATCCATAATATTTCTGCTTTAATTCTGGAGAAAATAAAATTTCAGATTTTTCAGATAATGGAATCTTAAATCCATTAAGTTCTTTTCATCAAACCCATTTTCCCAGAAGCAGCCCTGGCGACACTGTCAGGTTAGCGTTGGGCTGCTAAGCACCCGGCACTGTGGGGAAAGATGAGGCTGTCCTGGAGGGTTTATTGCCTCTGAAATTTAACAGGTCACTATGAACTGGAATCGACTTGATGGTGGCAGGTTTAGTTTAGGTTTTGTTTTAACTAATCTCTAGCTAAAATGTACCCAACCCCCCCCCCCCAAACAACTATAAAAGAGTAAGAAATTTAGTGTCTTAATCTGAAAAATACAAAAACATATATAAAGCATATCTTTCCTGTATAGAGATTTTTTGGGAACAAAGAGTTAAGCAGTTCACTACTAACTGACAGGATGGGGGTTTGGACACACTCAGAGGTACCTAGAGGTCTGCTTCCCCAAGGTCCCTCAACCAGAAAGCCAAGCTTGGTGCCGTCACGCCAACCCCCCTTCACAGTGACCCAACAGGACAGGGTAGAACTGTCCCTGTGATTTCTGAGACTGTAACTTTACAGGAGTACAAAGTCTCATCTTTCCCCCTCAAAGCAATTGGTGATTTCGAACTGCTGACCTTGGGTTACAAGATCGATGCATAACCTGCTATGTGACAACCTATGGAATGATTCTGTTCTACACATATGGAGTCAACATGAGTGAGAACTTACTGGTAACAACAGTGATAGCAACCATCAAAAACGCAAGTAGAAATGGAAGCCTCTGGGTAGAAATGAGCAAAATGGTGAAGAAAATCTATGGTCACTTGTCTTGGGTGAAAATCATGAAAACGAAGACAACAGAATGTACGCAGCAGAACAAGCCTTCCTTCAGACAGCCCAGACAGTGCCTCCTGCTAGCCTTTAGAGGCACTACCAATGGATAAGACAACATTTGTACTCATATTTTGAAGAGCAAACAGCAAGATTTTGAAAGGGAGAGTATAAGGGAAGAGGAATTCAGAAAATATATAAGGCACCCACTGAGTTAAGCTTAAAGAGTATGACAGTGCTCTATTTATCAAACAAAAGTATTTTATACTTGGTAATATGAATACATATATAAAGCATGCATTTCCTGTATAAAGAATTTTTATTTTTTATTTTTTTAATCATTTTATTAGGGGCTCATAAAACTTATCACAATCCACACATACATCAATTGTGTAAAGCATATTTGTACATTCATTGCCCTCATCATTCTCAAAACATTTCCTCTCCACTTAAGCCCCCGGAATTAGGTCCTCATTTTTCTCCTCCCTCCTCGCTCCCCCCTCCCTCATGAGCCCTTGATAGTTTATAAATTGTTATTTTGTCATATCTTGCCCTGTCCGATGTCTCCCCTCACCCACTTTTGGTTGTCCATCCCCCAGGGAGGAGGTCACATATATTTCCTTGTATTTCGGGAATATTTCCACCTCCAGCTTTTCTGCACTGCTATTATAGCCCTAAGTAATGAAGTCAACTTGAAGCACACCTGTTAAATACAGCTACACAAGTAAATCCAAACGATCACGAGAAGTTGTTACAGAATCCTTCTGCCTAATCAATGGCAAATGCGTAATTCTTAATTCTGGTAAAATAACAACATTTGAATTTCCCTTGTTAATACTGTTTTCTCCTGCTTTTGGAAAATTTCAAAACAGACTAACAGATCAAATGTATAAGACATGATTACATGAAAAATTCAATTTCAAACTACCTACCCCTTCGTGCTTGGTGAAGAGATTAAGACAGTCACTCAAAGCTACACACGTTTCTCTGGACGCTTCAGAGACAACCTCAACTTTCTGAAGAAATGATGGGAGCATTTCTGTAAATAAGAAAAACAAGCAAATCAAATGCATGAGCTTTTAAGTACTCTTACAGTGAACTAAGGCCACAAAAATATTTTTAAAAATCTATACCAGCTTCATGTTTCCTTCCAGCTATGTAAGCAAAGCTTATCACATGCTTATTGAGCATAATTATTAAGGACCACCATGTGCATGCAGACAAAGAACCCTGCCCGAGAAACTTAGATACCCGACAGGGAGGAGAATCCAGACTTTAAAAAGTCTACAGGCTTAACTATCACTTTAAACGTTAGTACCAGTAGCACACAAGAAAGACTGACAGAATTACTCATAAGACATTAACATTTCCCTTCATGGAATTCTATGCTAGATAAATTTACTAAAGAGAGGCAAAAATAATTTTTAGTTGACATAGGAGCTAACACTTCTGAAGGCAGCATTAACTCACACTCTTCTAGTGTTTATTGTGTTTATTTAGAAAAATGTTTAGCATTAATAGGTCTTTTCCATTTCAAATGTGGAGGTCTTGAACCTTTGAGTATGTATTAGAAAAAGTAAACATAAATAGAAGTATCAGGATTTCCCTTGCTCCCCCAAAGAAAATTATAACTCACTTTCTTATGAAAAATAATGCTGGAAAGAGTAAAACATACATATTATAACTTGAAAAGTAAAATGTCATATCTTGTCTAGGTGAGTACGAGTAAAACATTATTTGAATAGATTGACTTTTTATTGATTACACATTAGCTTTCTTTTTATATATCCCATTAATCAAGTAAAATTGTAACAGTCAAGGAAAGTTTTCATACAAAAATACCCTAAAGGAGAAAGACACTGATGAACCCTGTAGCATGCTATGTATGTCAGATCACCACCAACTTACGTAACATTCTTAGAACATGGGAAACAAGGCCAACCAACACAAGCAACCAAGTCAATCAAACACCAGAGAACAGCAAACAGGAGTCCATAAAACACTGGGTTTCACCAATACAAACATTATAAAGTTAGGAGTGGAGTGACAGCATTAGACAAAAATAAAGTGTACAATTATGCCATTTGACATTACATGGTCTATCAAAACAATTTTACCGCATGCATCAAATTATTTATATTAATTTCTGGGTAATACATTTTTGAATACTTCTGCTTCTTTTCTAAATGTTCTGTATCAATGTGATTTATTTAAGTAAAGTCCTTTTTGAATGGTGTCGGGGTCTCAAAGGTTTATCTTAAAACAAACAACCGTCTAAGTGAGGTGTCAGCTAACCCCACAAAGAAGGAGCACACCACCCCATGATGCAAGGATTGTAAATAATCAAATCCAAGATCAGAGTAAGAAAGTGTATCAGAGCTTAAATTCTGACCACCTAGTCAGGAGAAGACTAGAAATGCCAGTAAAATCCCCAAATCCACTGGCAAAGTCCCCACATGGATGAAGCCTCCACTGACCTCTCTCAGTTCATTGACTAGGGATGTGACAGTCTTGCCCTCGACAGAGTGCACCGGAAAGTGCATAAATAGTTAAGCTACAGTTATCATTTGTTTTCCCTTTTAACCAACTTTTATTTTTATGTAATCAGTTTATTGGGGGCTTATACAACTCTTATCACAATCTGGTGCAGTGGTTCCCAACCTTCCTAATGCCGTGACCCTTTAATGCAGTTCCTCATGTTGTGGTGACCCCCAATCATAAAATTATTTTGGTTGCTATTTCATAATTATAATTTTGCTACTGTTATGAATTGGATGACACCTGTGTAAGGGTCATTCCACCCCCAAAGGGGTCATGACCCACAGGTTGAGAATCGCTGTTCTGGTTTCTGTATCTTTTACGTTCTTTCAGATGTTTTCCTGAGTTTTATTTTATTGTTGGTGGTGGATTTTTTTTGTATGATTTTTCTTTATATGAAATCCCACATAGGCAATCCATAGATACAGTAACTAGATTAATAATTTCTTAGGGTTGTGGCAGGCAAGGTTGGAGAATAATAGGGAGCTAATCATAATGGGTCCGAGAATAAAGAAAATGTTCTTCAATTAACTGTGGGGATGATTGCACAACCTTTTCAGTAATGTCAAACCACTGAAAGATGTGGTACATGAATTCTGTATGCCAATAAAACTGGTAAGAAATAAGAAGAGTCCTTTTCTTAAAAAAGTTATTCTTTAAAACTCTTTAATCAAAGAAGACAACAAGCAGAAAGGGTGAAAATGAGAGAAGACAGGTGTGAACCACCTTCCATCAATAACTGGATAGGACACTGTATTAAGTCTGGGTACTTTGGAGAAACAAATCCACGGTGACTCACGTATAAGAGAGAGTTTTATGTAAAGAAAAGGTGCATCACGAAAACATCCCAACCCAATGCTGCCCAAGCCCACAAGTCCAACATTAACCCATTAACCCAACACCAGTCCACAAAGTCCTCCACCTCACAAAACAGAGGCAATGATGCCGACTGCAGGAGGAAAGCTGAGTCAGTGAACGTGCAAGCATCTCAGCACTGGCAAGGGTCTCCACACGGCTGCTCCAGCACCCAGGGCTGCATCAGGATAGAGCCATGCGGCTTCTCCTTGGGGATGTCTTGGAGGAAGTCAATCTTGCAAGCTGAAGCAGGGAACTGCTAAGGCAGCTGCACCCGATACAACCATCACAAAACAAGAGACCCGAGAACTAGAAAGGCGAGGCTTCACCACCCATTTATCCCTCCGCCATTCAACCAGCACCACATGTGATTATCGGCCAGGCTGGCACAATTAACTAACTCAGACACCAAATCCTATTTTTCATCATATGAAGCAGTTTCCTGGTGTTAGCTATCCTTAATAAAATGAAAATAATACAAAATTGGCAAATCCTGAAATAAATCTGACTTTACTTTTTCCTTCTGAATATTCAATGCACATTGTAAAAATACATTCCCTACTTGGTTTCTAAATAACAGAGTACTATCTTAGCTACCTTGTGTTGCTACAGCAGAAATACCAGAAGTGGGTGTTTTTAACGAACAGAAATATATTTTCTCACAGTAGAGGAGGCTAAAGGAAGATTTTGGAAATTCTAGGGGGTTAGTCCTTGTTTTAGACCTTCTGGTCTTGCACAACCTTCATGTGGCTGCACATCTCTCCTCCTCCCTCTACCTCTTTCAATCTGCTCCTGTTATATTTTATAAGATATCAACTGAAAACAAACCCTACACTAATTCCATGTCATTGATAGAATAAAGACAACCCATTCCCAAATGGGATTATAGCCACAGGCACACAGGTTAGGGTTTAAAACACATATTCTGGGGGAACACAATTCAATCCATAAAAAGTAGCTTATGCTAGATGCCGTTTGACTTAAATATCATCTCAACAGATGTCTCACACGGAGCTGTGAACTGAGTACTGTGAGGAGATGTACAAGAAAAAGTCAAATACAGGCTCTCTTCCCAGACATTTTTAGGGTAATCTAGTAACTTTACACTTAAATGATACAAGTGACAGGAAGATGGAAGTATAATCATTCATGGATGCATTTATCAAGGCTTAATAATCTATAGAGATATCTGTTAGATGTTTACTGTTTGATATTTATTAACATAAAATCAATAACAAAAGCCAAAAAATCAATAACAAAAATCAAAAACAAAAGTTAGGAGAATTTACGAGTTTTTAAGCAAAAAAGATACTGCACATTTTTTAAATAATCCAAAAGCTATACTCAGAAAATCCCACACCTTTTCTGAGAATCCAGAGGGTCAAATTCTTTTGTCAATTGAGTGGAACAAGATTTTCAGGTCAATAGGAACTTGCTCAGAGGCACAGGGGTGCTGCCGCCGCCGCCACCACCGTGAGGGGCCATCAGGTTGGTTCTGACTCGTAGCAACTCTATGTACAGCAGAACCGCCACCACTCCTGAGGAAACACCCTCACCACTGTTCGGGTGCTTGAGCCCTGTGTCAATCCATCTTTCCTAGGGCCTTCCTGTTTTTCCTTGCCCCTCGATTTACCAAGCATGATGACCTTTTCCAGGGCCTGGTCTCTCCTAATAACATGCCTAAGGTACGTGAGATGAAGTCTTGCCATCTTTGCTTCCAAGGAACATTCTGGCTGTACTACTTCTAAGACAGATTGGTTTGTTCTTTTGGCAGTCCATGGTACTTTCAAGATTCTTTGCCAGCACCATAATTCAAATGCCTCAATTCCTTTTTCGTCTTACTTATGTAATGCCCAACTCTCCCAAGCCTCGGAGGCAATTGCAAATAACATGGCTTGGGTCAGGTGTACACTAGACCTCAAAGTAACCTCCTTGCTACTCAATACTTTAAAGAGGTCTTGTGTAGAACATTTACCCAATTTGATATGTCATTTGATCTCTTGACTGTTGCTTGCTTCCATAAACAATAATTTCGGATCCAAGCAAGATGAAGTCTTTGACAACTTCAATCTTTTCTCAGTTTATGATGTTACCCAATGGTTCAGTTGTGAGGATTTGGGTTTTCTTTACATTGAGTGTGGCAGAGGGTAGGAACAGATATATCTTGGTGAATACACTAGTTCACTGTATCACAGGCCATGCAATGCCCGCTGCTATGCTTCTTATATGATGGTGTTTATCCAATGCTATATAGAATAGTACATACAAAATTAAATGGTTAAGGTTCTAGAAATGTTACCATCAGGGAATCATTACAAACATTTCTTAACATTAAAATTTATAATTATTCTGAATAAACAGTAAAGGTCACATGCTAACTTATTTTGTCTACTGTTAAGGATCTGATGACTTTACTTCTGAGAAGTGATTGTTCTTGTACTAAAAATATATTTTCATAGCTCATAAAAGCTGCCAGAAGATCCTATTCAAAAAAGCTTAACTCTAGATACAGGTATAAAAAGCTCACAATCTGTTATTTTTCATGATTGCACTATACAATTTTTAATTGGGTAAGTTTAAAACTCCGGGAAGTGCTCACTTCCTGTTACACTAGCAAACTAATCTGTAATACAGACTACCTTCATT